AAAATTAATTTGCTAATACTTTTATTTTTTTTTTTATTTCTAATCCTATTATTATATGATCATGTATCATGATATTTTACATATTTTACTGGCATCTACTAATCCCTTTTATTGTCTAGACAAAGATTGCATCGTACTGATCGAGTCTAAGTCTCAGTTCGAGTGGATCAGTCGTTCCTAACACCCGTTGGGAGAGAAAATCTTGATGGAGAAGCGCTCGAACGTGTTTGTTGAGAAAATCTCATTACTACCGAGTCACTGAACTCCACACACTTAGGTTTTCCCAGACGTGGAAAAACTCTTGCCCGGTGATGGAGGAAAATATCGGAAGGAAAACGAAATTGTTTCGTCGTGCATTTGTTGTTCGTAACCTCATCGAATGAAAGGGTAACTTGCTTCATCCTTTTTCGAAGCGAATAAGATACGCTTGAGATTAAAACTTTTCTGAATTATTCTCAAGACTTATTTCTATGTAGACAGACTGCGTTCAGAGCGATAACTATTCTAAAAATAATCACTCTCGAGAGCGATTCATGCTTTACTTTCAAATCTAATTCTCGTATCCTAAGAATATAAAGATAGAATATAAAAATATTTTTTCCAGACGTTACGTTGAAAATAATCCATCCATAAAATTGATACTCGAAAGATCACAATGCAGTATCCACTTGAAAGAAAATTATATTTTCCAGATACAAAATTATATTCTCGAGGATTTCTCTCTCAAATTCTAACGTTCATTCTAACGTTCACTTAACATTAATTTCGCGTTTCTCTTCGATTCATTGAACTCTGAACTTATTCGCGTGATAGGGCTGAACTTTTATAGATCGTGCTACTATATTTTAAATCGCGAAGGGACCTGTTATTTATTTAAAAGACCTTGAGTAGGTATGTAGAAATTCGCGGTAAACTTGGAAAATTCGTTCAGGAATGTAACCAGATTTCTGAAGCCTGATCGATTAAATTGTTAAGATAGTAGGTGTATGTATGTATTCGTTTCGTTTACCTATAGTTGAATGGAATTCTATCAACGTTCAGTTATCTGTAAATTACATCAGAAGGAAATGTATTTAACGTGACATGAATGTCAATAATTGATTAATTTTATCTTAATATATAACTCACGATCGATACTATTAATGAAAATTATTGAATTATCTTACGATCTAATGGCTATGTTTGATAATCGACTAATTAACTATTATAATAGTCTATAAAAATATTTTTATAATGAACTTGAAAAATTTTAAATATTTAAAAAAAAAAATATTCCATTTTTAAATTATATGTGAAAAAGAAATTTATTTAGCCAAAAGAGTTAATTTAATGCTAATTTTCAATACAATTTTGATTTCCTATTAATAAATTCGTCAATGAAGAATTATTATTATATCTATGACTTTTCATCATCTAATCTCATACATAAGTTTTTGTTGAAAAGTCCTTAAAATTCCAAACAGGATAATAATTGAATCTATTTTTATTTAATTTTCTAAAGAATTTTCAAATTTTTTTTAATTTCACGAAATTCTACGAATCAAATATGAATATACGAAATCCGAATATAATAATTATACTAATATTACATTTCAAAAGTAATTTTCTCGATAGTAATTATAATGAATATAATGAATTAAGAAAATATAAAGATGATTATATAAAAAGTTCATGTTTCATTTAATTTTTTGCAATTGTTACGTGTCGTATTATGTATAATAATTTTCCATGCGAAACGCGAAATAAGAATCTCGTTGAAAAGAAAAATAACGAAGAAATAGAAAATAAGTAACATAATACAGCATATGCACAAAACAACCTGATCATCCGACCACTTCCTGTCGATTGACTTGATATTACTAAAGCGTGCACGTTATCGCAATAAATGATCTAACAAAACTGATCTAACAACTTATATTTTTCTATATGTTGCCATGAAACCGAGTGTCGTTTTCTCGAAAAAGTTCTGCTTAAATGAATTTTAAAATTTCGAAATGAAGAAATACAATTATTCTATCTTACGACCGTGAATTTAATTTAAGAAAAATATACGCGTAAAAAAATTTGCTAGGAAAAATAAAATGAATTAAATTAATCCTAACAAAGATTACTATCATTAATATCTTATTATAATCATAATATTTTTGGATATATTTTATGTTAAAAAAATAATTCCGTAAAATATAAATTATAAAATATAAATTATAAAAAGTCCAACGAAATGCCCTCTTTATTAATGCCCTCTTTAATTAAAATGTTCACATCTGACATTTCTTGTATTTTTCAAGATATATTTTAAATCGTTCTAAATTCTACGTATCCTTTTACTTTTAAAATTAGAAAATTCTATTTTAGTGATCTAGAATTAGAATTAATTTAATTTTTCTAACAAAAACATCACAGAAATGATAAAAACTTTTCGCAAATATGTTTTCACAATTCTTCTAAGATATCTTCAGAAGAAGAAAGGCAAAAATTTTGAAAAATAGATAAAAGAGAAAAGCGCTGAACGAAAAGAAAACGAAAAATCAAGAAATATAATAAAGATATTTTTTCTTGTTGAGAATGAGAAACAAATAGAAAGAAAGAAAGGAAAAAAGAAAACGAGAATGATGTCGATCGTGTCACTCATAAATATTGTAAACGTATGAACAGATTTCGTGCTCGAGTAGCCAAACGAAATGTATGGCGCATCGTTACGAGCTAGTCCGTGCCGAGAATTTTCATTTCATTCAACCAGGAACATCCCCTTTTCGGCTCATTGCCGCCTATCTCTTTTCCCTGTGGCACGCAACATCGAGCTTTCTCTAATAGACCTCTTAAACCTCGAAACTTGATTTTATCGATATCAATGGCGTGACGGAATGTACATAATAAATGTGAGCCAATCTTAACGCGGTGCATGGATAAAATAATGAGAAAAAATGGAAGGATCGAATCGTTCTTGGTTCGTAATTCGAGAGATCTATTGGCCTTCGTTTCATATAGCGATTCGTAACGAGCTTAAACACGATTTTTACAAAAAACTGTATACTTATGAAATGAATTAATACATATTTATAATATATATAATTTTTCATATTTATATTTACATATTTATATTTCTATTTAATCGAAAAATGTATACTAATTATAATATATATTTTAATCAAATTATTTATATATTTATGCTTGTAAATATTGTATTTAAATATTTCAAATTTATTAATTTAATTGAGTTATTTAAACATTTTAATATCCTATTTTAATTTTTTAACAGGAATATAATCATATTGAGAAGCATAAATAAATAAATAATTAAATGTAAATTTAAATATTCAATCCTCATAATTTGGAATATTTAATTAATAAATAAATGTTCAATGGCAATAATAAGTCTTGCTCAATGAACCAAGCAAAGAATTGTCTTTTATATAAGTGCAACGTTTAAGATGCAACTATTTATCGTAAAATACGAGTTGATTAATCAATTAAAAGGTTAAACGAACATTGCGTTGTCGACACACTTAAAGTTCTTCTGAGTCATTATATCAACATCAATAATGTTAATATTTCATATCAACGTTGCAAAACGAAATATTATAACAATTAAAAAAAGAACAAATAATACAACAATTAAAAATCTTAAAATCTTTTGAGAATTCCTGTGTGTCTGAAATAAGAATAAAATTCAAATTTTAAATAATAAAATAAATAAAAAATTAGGAAACATATTCTTTGAAATTTCGAATAGAAATTAAAAAAATTTGGATTAAATTTGGACAATCATTCCAGTCGAATAAGGAGAGCATATTTTTTGAATTATTATTCAAATTTTTTGTTGTAATCTCCATAGTTGAGAAGATACATTCAACCAATAACATAAACCCTCAAAACAATTATTAAAATTATGAAATTAATTTTAAAAAATAAATTTTAATTTTAATTTAATTAAAAATTAAATTAAGAATACCATTAAAATATGTTTCCGTGGGATTAAAAAAAGTTCTTAATTGCAAGCTTCGTTAACCAGAATCTACAGCATTGGTCGAATGCTTGAGTTTTATTCTAGAGAATTTTATTGTTAGAATACGAATATTTCCACGCTCACAGATCGATTTTATTATGATTTCGTTACTATCAGATTTTTTGCATTTCTATTTTTTCATGGCGCGACGAAAGTCCGGACTTAAAATCATGAATTTAATTAAGGATTAAACAATTTTGAATAATGATAAAAGATTCCTGCATATCGAGAAAAATATATAATTCTTTTTTCGGAGAAAAAAAACAATAAAATTGCTACATTTCTAATAAAACAGAAAACTCGTCTTTACTTAAGTTTTATTAAATGAAAATATTCTCGATATTTTACGATTGAGATGAACAATTTTCAGAATCTATGTTTTTTTTCATGGCAATATCATATCGTGAAACTAAATGGAAACAACAATGGGAAATAGCAATTAATTTCTTGTGAATTTGTAACAAAAAAAAGAGAGAATATATATTATATTTAATCGGAATATACTTTTATACTTTTATACTTAATCGAAATATACGGTTATACTTTTTTACATTCAATTTTTATGAAAAATTATTTTTTCTCAAGTCACATTTAAAATCTATTAATCCGATAATAATATAGTATTAATAATTTCCAAAGATAATTTTATTATTATCTAATTCCTAAAAACATTTTAAGAAATTTTTACGATAAATTTTCACCATTAGGAATGTCTATTTATTTAAATTCTTTCAGTTTTTTTTTCACAATAATTAAAATTTACTTAGAACATATGTTTTTATGCGCAAAATTATATTTCACAAACTATTAGAATTACCGTATATTTCTATAAAACATACTATACTATACTAACGTATTTTAGTTGAATTAAAAATTAATATATATTCGATATTCTATTTAATTATATATTTTTCATATAAATCATGGTTAACATGAATATTTATCTCATATCATATACTCCATGCAAATGTAAAAATAAATGTATATTACTTACCACCGTTTTTCCCATCTTCCTTTGCTTCATCTCCAACCGGCTGGACACTTTCCTTGCTCGTGTTGCACCCCATTTTCACTTATCTGTTCCTATATTTCTATCCTCCAATCACAAACGCCGTTACTTGCAACACTTATCGTATAATACGCAATTATGATCGGCTAAATGCTCTTTTCGTTAACATTGAGTCGTCAAATAAGGGCCCAGATTATAAGAAAACTACTTGTGTGCACTAAAAGAATTATTAATACCTCGACAAGGACGAATTGGAAAGATCACAGTACAATATTTTTGGCGTTTTCAAAATTTTCGTTTTTCTTCTCGTGTGCTAGAGGTTAACGACACGTCGTAGTACCGGTATATTCGGGACGATTCGTTGGAACGAAAATACAATGATTCTTTGTGATTGGTCAAACTGGACGTATCATGAATTTGATCGCAATTCCTTCTGTTCGTGAATTTAACAACCGGTTAAGAAAAATATATATGTATATATATATATATACTATATATTAAAACACTGTACAAAAGCTACTGCCGGTGAACACTAAACGCTATTCTACGATTATATCACGAACACAATATATCCCGTCGGCGTCACGAGGCGTACTGACTACTGACACTGCCGACGACCCTGCCCTTGCGTCGCGAGTCGTGACTACGCGAGTCGATATAAACATTCTTTCGCGGTTTTGTATATATACACATATATAATTGTATGCGTGCGAAACCTATAATAATATATACATCTATTACGGATTTTACATAAATTTAATTTTAAATAAATAATAATTGATTAAAATTTGATTTTAAATTCTTACAAAATTTTTTTTAAATTCCCACAAAAATGTATCGCTTTCATTGTATGCATCATCGGTCAACTTCGCGCCACTCCCAATTCTTGTGTAATATCCAAGAAGAAAATAAGAATTTTTGCAAGGTTCAATCGATTTCATAAATGGATACTTTACTTAGTTACTTTGTTGCATTGAATCGACAAGACCGGTGGCAGACAGGCGCCAATAATTCTCGTGATTTTCCTGTTTTGTGGAACGAATATCGATTTTGTAGTTTTGATAATCCTTCACGATTTACCGCCGTTAGTGATTCATATTTCACAGACATGGCTTGCACATTTGTTGTTTCATAGTTGCGTGACTCGTGCTGAAAACTGACAAATAGCTTTCGGTATTTTTAATGTTCCTTTGTATATACTATTTTTTAAATACAAAAAATATTAGGAATAAGAAACAATTAATTAAATTTTTAAAATATTTTTAAATATGTAATAAACATTATATTTTGTTTTTAAATGTACAAGATATATGTTTAATTCTAATATTGTGAACTATATAAACTAAAAAACTATATAAACTAAAACTATGTAAACTATATAAACTAAAATATATAAAACAATAAAAAAAAAATGAGATGAATTTAATTATTTTATTTTTTAATCTACTAAAAAATTGATAATAAAAATAAAATTTGATAATAAAAATAGATAAAATAATGAATTTTCCTTAAATATTAAAATATTAAAAAATATCAATAACCATGCTTATAATGACTTAATTTAATTTTAATCTTTTCAAAATTTTTTGAAACTCAGAGGATATTTAAAGTAATAATTTAAAAAACATACAATTTTATTGAAAAAGAAAAAAAATATGTGCAATAATAGGTTAAAATCATATATTCTATATTTTTATTTCTTTATTTATATTTGTATATTTTTAATTCGTTTTATATTCTTCGATTTTTAATTTTATAATATGATAATTAAAAAATAAAATGGAAATATGTACATTTCACATGTCAGAAGTACTCCATTTATAAGCTTCTTCTTGGCGAGCTACTTTTGCATTTTGCGCTTCAAACCATCGTTTTTCATATCCATTACTTCTATCAACTCCATCCCATCTATGACCGGGTTTAATACCAAAACGATTTGGCATGAATGATCCTTCATATTTTGGTGGATCTAAAATTATATAATTATATATCAGTTTAATCATAATATTAGTTAGAATTAAACTTAAGAAATCCATAATATTTTACCTGGTTTCCTCTTTCCTTCTTTTATTTGTTTCTGTTTAATATATTCTAACATAGGATCTCCTTCTCTTTCTTGTTCTCTAAGTATTTTATCCAAATCAGCATCATCTGCATATCTTGCTAAAGGTTTACTCATTTCGTAAAGATCATCTTTCAATTTTTCTTCGTGATCTTCAACTTGTTTTAAACTGATATAAAATAAACGTTTCTTACAAATTTTGAAAAAATAGAAAAAAATTTTATTTTGTGAATTCTATAAAACTTACCCTTTCCCCCATTTAGCATATTTTTCATCTAATTCCTCTTGTTGTTTTTGTCTTTCACGTTCTTCTTGTGCTTCTGCTTCTAAGTTTCGTTTTTTACCTGTTTTAGTGTCGCGTATAACTACTGCTTGGCCAACTCCTGTAACTTCTTTACTAAGCTGAAAAAAATATAATTTTGTAAATTTTTATAATATATAGAATTAATAAGAATTATAATAATTAAGAATTAATCAATATAAAATTTGTTTACTTTGCTAAAATGTTCAGCTTCCCGCTTTTTATATGCTTCTGTTTCTTCTCGCAATGCTTTAGCATCTTGTAGTCCTGCTCTTTTTCCATCTAATGTTTTCTTCATTTGTTTATTAGTATCTCTTTCTTCAATATTTTTATATTTTGATTTGTTTTCTTTGAATATTCTAAAATACAAATATTCATCATTCTTATATCTTTTCAAAATTTTCATTTATTGGAAAAAATATGTTTAATCATTAATTATTAATGAAAATCGTAAAAAAAAAAGAAAATACAAACGAAATTATAAAATAATATTTAGAAAAAATAATAAGAGAATTTGAATTAAGAAATATTAGATAATTAAGATTAATATTAAAGTAACATTTTTTGCACATAATATTTTAAATCATAATCATACCTATTTGATTTAGATTTATAAAAATCTCTATCACTTTTAAATCTATTCGGACTTGTACTGTCTCTATTTTTTTTTTGAGATGGACTCATATCTGAATCATAATATTTCTTATCTGATTTAAAATTTTTATAAGAATGTTTATACATTCTATTTCTTTCTGTTTTTTCATCTCTATATCTATGCCATTTTGATTCATAATTTCTATTTTTATTTTTATCGTTCATGTAAATGTTTTCATTGCTTTCACATTTTCTTTTAGATGCATTAAATTCAGAATTATCTCTTGTTCTATGCTTATGGTTTTTACTTTTTCTTGATGGACTTAGATCTGAATCAGAATCTTTTCTATTCTTTCTAGGCAGACTCATATCTGAATCAGAATCATTCCTATTTTTTCTAGGACTCACATCTGAATTATAATCTCTTCTACTTTTTCTAAAAGAACTCATTTCTGAATCATTTTTATGTATTATATTTTTCTCAAGTTTATATTTTTTATTCTTTCTTGGTGAATTTATATCTGAATTATAATTTTTAATTTTTCTAGGTGGACTAAGATCAGAATCATCTGATATTTTTTCTTTTCTTTTTGTCTTTTTTTTAATTTTATAAGATGGAACATCTGTTTCTTGATTACTATCATCATCACTATTACTTTGTGGAGATTTACATTTAGAATTAATATAACTTCTAGATTTTATTCTAGGTGGACTTAGATCACTATCTTCATCCTTTTGTACTTTCTTATTTCTCTCATCTTTAGATATTCTTGGAGGAGATAAATCATCATTTGAATATTTCTGTTGTATCTTTGACGGACTTAAATCATCATCAGAAATTTTCTTAACTTGTTTAGATTGTTTATTTTCTTTTGCCACACTAGTGATTGTTAAATCACCACTTTCGTCATTAGCTATAATTTTCCATCTTCTTTTATCACTAAAATCAACTGGTCCATGTTCATCCACTACACCGGCTATTTGAGGTGCATCTTCTGCATTGATGAAAATATCAAATTCATTTTCTTCAATTGGTCTTATGTTCTTCAAGTCTATGTCATCATCAATGATTTTTAGTCTGCAAAATACATCTCAAAATTTGTGCAAAGAAATAAATATAATTTTTAAAAATATTTTATATTGATTTGAAAACCAAAATTGAAATTCCTTTTTGCATTAAATATATCTTCCATATTAATATAATAATATATTAAGGAAATGGTAATGAATAAAATACATTTTCTTTTTACTATTTATCATATAAAAAATTTTTTAAATATTATATAAATATTCAAAATGTTTCAATTTAAATATCCAGGAAAATGTGTAAAACAACTACTATAACCTAAAACACAAGGATTTACTGTTGAAACTGTCAACACAAATTATAATATTTACAATTTAAAACTTACGTTTTTGCTCCCAATTTCATCTTTTTCTTTTTCTTTTTTTTCTTATCATCACAATCTCCTGAAGACAAGTACTTTTTTAAATATTCTTTTTGGTCAATAATTTTCTTCTCCATTATGATAGCATATATATCAGCGCGATTACTGTTAGATATTATAATTTTACTATATTTTTTAATATTAATTACGTGAGAATAGTTAAGAACAATGTAAAAATATTAAAAAATGTAACAAATATTGAGAATAGATCAATTACAACTATGAAACTAATGGCGAACTAACAAAATGATGACTGAGCGATTGCGCAGTAACCAATGCACAATAAATTTGCCAAAAAAAAGCAGTAAAATATTTTAAAATTGATGTCTTTTTTTAAATTTTTATTTTTATAATACAATATATTTTATATTTATTATTTAATTTAACATTAATTAATGATGAAATATAATTTCTACAATAAGTGTAAACTTGAGCTATAAGTAATTTTTTTTTAGATAGGATACAATAGAATAAGAATTGTGACTTAGCGCCATCTCATGAGTATTCTTAAAAGACTCTTTTCAAAATACTCCAGAGATGGCACTAATATTCAATTCTGATTCTATCATTTTATTTCTTTAAAAATAAAATAAAATAGAATAAGAATTGTGACTTAGCGCCATCTCTTGAGTATTTTTAAAAGAGTCTTTTCAAAATACTCAAGAGATGGCACTGATATTCAATTCTGATTCTATTATTTTATTTCTTTAAAAATAAAATAAGATAGAATAAGAATTGTGACTTAGCGCCATCTCTTGAGTATTCTTAAAAGAGTCTTTTCAAAATACTCCAGAGATGGCGCTAAGTCACAATTCTTATTCTATCTTATTTTATTTTTAAAGAAATGTCTCTAATACTCAAGAGATGGCGATAGTAATCAATTCTTATTCTATTTCTATCTTTTTTTCCTTATTTACTGTTCTTTCTTTTTATGTTTCATTTGAGGCACTCAGAGATGGCGCTAATGTCATAAGTTGTAACTTATCTCTATCCTTTTTTTATTATTTACTCTCCTTGTCTATTAGTCGCATAACCACAGATGTCAATTGAGCATATTTTTATTTTTTCTTTTTTAAAATTATAATCTATATTAATTCTCAATTTAAAAATTATATATTATATTCTCAATTTTAGAATATATTTCTAAAATAACGACTTTGCAATCATAATATTTCTTGGTGTATATAATATATATGATTT